CGTGGTACTGTGTGCCTGTAGTTCCAGCCTGGAAGGCTGAGGCGGAAGGATCACCGGAGCCCAGCAGGTAGAGGCTGCGGTAGCCGGGAGCGGCCACTGCACTCCAGTCTGGGTGACAGAGTCAACTCAAAAAAAAAACAAAAACCAAAATCCAAAAAACTAATATTCAAAGAAAATCTAACAAACCCATGTTCCTATTGTCCAGTCAACATTTTATCATATAATCTTATTACAAATTTTGAATTCTTTGTTTAAAAAATTAGCCTGATAGTCTCCCTCCTCCCATGACTGTTTTGCTCTCCCCTTCTACTCCCCCAGAGGTAAATGTCAAGGATTTGGTGTGTAGCCTTTCAAACTAGTTTTTCAAAAAGTATCTCATCCTTTAAAAAGAGATTGGAGGCCCTGATCTCTCTTTGTAATGTAATATACATTTCTGTTTCATATAAATGACAATAAAGTAGGTATCTATTTTTGTGACTACTTACATTACAATTATGTTTAATGATCCACATTCACTTGGTATGCTCAGAAAGTCAATATATATTACAGTTTTCACTTTGGTATGAAGCACATTTTTTCTTTGACTAGTAAATTATGAATAATCCTTGTTTTAATCCATTTACTTTCAATTCAAAAGATTGTTCACATTGAAGAGGGAAAGAGCCAAGCCATTTAAAGGATCCCTTTGGAGTTACTTTTTCTTGACAGGCAGCCCTTGAATGTCACACGAAGGCAGTACTAGGCAAAGATCATGATTTAAAGTCCAAATAGCACTTTTTTTTTTGAGTTGGAGTCTCACTGTTGTCACCCAGGCTGGAGGGCAGTGGCACACTCATGGCCACTGCAACCTCGACCTCCTGGGCTCAGGCTATCCTTTTGCCTCAGCCTTCCAAGTAACTGGAACTATAGGCGTGCGCTACCACACCCAGCTATTTTTTGATTTATTATAGAGATGAGGTCTCACCAAGTTGCCCAGGCAGGTCTCGAACCTGCGGGCTCGGGCAATCCACTCACCTCAGCCTTCCAAAGCGCGGAATTACAGGCTGAGCCACCGAGCCTGACTCATAGGGCTCTTAAATATAGATTGTATATTTTAATATCTTTATATATTAAATTTTAGGGGCATACTTTTATTAACAGAAATTGGAATTTAATTGGTTTTATATTGGTATAGTCTGCTAAAGTTTATGCCGTTTCATGGCTGAACTGGAATTAAATGGAAAACCTTGAACCTTGGGGAGAATACACCATGGCTGAGGCTTCTTGGCCAGTTGCCAGTCTTTTGTGTGAAGTTACACAGAACTGCAAGTGTGTGGACACCCAGAGCTTCTGAATGCAGGAAGAGAGCTGCAGCTGGTCACATTATCATCTTGTTCATGGTTTTTAGAACAAAATGCCAGGGAATCACCCTGTAGCATTGCACTGATAGGCCTAGAAGGAATCTGTGATAGTTGTAAATTGGGGAAGCTGTAGCTTAAATTAACGTTCCTTCCACACCTCACTGTGATTGAGAAACAACCAGAAAAACATTCTCAATTTCTCTATGGAGCGTGGAGTGTGTGTACATGTGTGTGTATTTTCCATTGTACTTAATATTAATTTTACTTCAGTTTATGAACTTTTCTTGTACATTCATTTCTTTTTTTTCCTCTTTTTTTTGTACGTTCATTTCTTGTGGTTAGAGTGAATGTTTAGCCTCAGAGGTAAAACATTGGTACATTAGATTTAACATATTTGATTATAAATATTTTGACTTTTACCACAGCTTAAAGTCCTTTTGCAGTGTGCTCTAGAAAAACCATGATGTTCTCTGAAGCTTTTAGTTTTCTTTCTCTATTTTCCCCTTGCCAAGAGCCCCACCCTGTCCTGTCTTTGCAATACTTTCTGAAGTTATTGCTGAACTTCCCCCCCTCCCCTCAGCTCCAGCTGTATCTGGATATAATCGCTCTTGCATTTATAGCTCTTGCGATACTTGTAATTTCCTGCTGCCTGTTAGTTATTTGTAAATGTCCTTGGGGACTGCAGACACCTTATCTCAGATCTTTGTATTTTCTCCAGTACACAATGTGTCTGGTGCAGAGTATGCTATGTATGTTTGAAAGATCACATTTTATGAACTGTCTTCCAAAAACAGTTGCACCAGATCTATAGTATTGTGTCTTTTGACCATCTTGGAGGACTGAAGAGCCACAGCACATTTTCCCTGCTAAAGATTTAAATCATGACGTGGGTGAGCCGATTTCATTTCCCTCCTAAGATGAACAACCTCATAGAGCCGCTCACCTCAGTCCTGATATAAGCCCTGTAGGCACAGTGGCTTACTCCTGTAATCCCAGCACTTTGGGAGACTGAGGCAGGAGGATTGTTTGAATCCGGAGTTTAAGACCAGCCTGCACAACATAGGGAGACTCCCATCTCTATAGTAAAAAAAAAAAATGGAAAGAAATTAGCTGGGCACAGTGGCCTGTGATTTTAGTTCCAGCTACTCAGGAGTTGAGGCAGGAGGATCACTTGAGCCCAGGAGTTCAAGATTACATCGAACTGTGATCGCACCACTGCACCTCAGCCTGGGCAACAGAACAAGCCCCTGTTTCTAAAAAAATAAAATAAACAGGGTGTCCAGGGAGGAAGCACAGAATAACCAAGCAGAACAACATAAAATAGGTCACTGTTTGATAAGAGGGAAAGCAATGCCAAAAGAAATGATTTTGATTTGACACAAATCTATTCCTTGAGTAAATAAGCATATTAGCATGAAAATGAAAGATGAATGAAGATTTCAGTACAAATGAAAATTTTCCCAAGATTTTCTCACAAGAGCTAGTATTCAGTTTACTGTTTGTTTGAGTTGGAGTCTCACTCTATCACCCAGACTGGAGTGCAGTGACATGCTTATGGCCACCACAGCCTCAACCTGCTGGGCTTAGGTGATCCTTCCACCTCAGCCTTCCAAGTAGCTGGAACTACAGGCACATGCCACCTCGCCCAGCTAATTTTTTGATTTATGGTAGAGATGAGGTCTCACCAAGTTGCCCAGAACCCCTGAGTCTCGAACCTCTGGTCTCAGGCAATCCTCTTGCCTCCCACTTTGGCCTCCCAAAGTGCTAGGATTACAGGCTTCAGCTACCATGCCCAGCCCAGTTTACTGTTTAAGTAATATTTCCTTCCCTCTCATCCCAACTTCCCTTCCCTAACCAATACAAATGGGATTATATGTGGTTCACATTATTGTGATTGAAAAGAAACAAAGATTAAAATCAGGAACTTTAGTTTTCTATGTATGTAGACATTTGGAGTTAATAGATTTAAAATACTGAACAAATAATTTTTTGGCATCTGACATAGTCTTGTCATCTTTGATCCTTGTCAGTAAAAGCTGAATTTCTCAGAATGAAGAATTATGTAAGGAATACTAAAAGTAAATTACTAGAATGTTTCCTTCCTGGCAGGTAATGTTTAGAGCATCCTTTCAAATGAAGAAATATTGTGAAATGTGAATCAATTCATTTGCCTAGAAAAAAAGGCTTGTGTTTCAGATTTTAAATACTTGTAGTAGACAGCAACTTTAATTAATATTACAGAAATTAAAATTTATTTGTGGATTTAAATTGATATGGAATCATTTCTTAAGGCTGTTATGATTAAAAATATAAAAAGAGGAAAATCTTTTGTTGACTATTCTTTTTTTTTTTTTTTGAGTTGGAGTCTCACTCTGTCGCCTAGACTGGAGTGCAGTAGCCGCTCCCGGCCACCGCAGCCTCGACCTGCTGGGCTCCGACGATCCTTCCGCCTCAGCCTTCCAAGTAGCCGGAATTACAGGCATGTGCTACCACGCCCGGCTGATTTTTTGATTTATTGTAGAGATGAGGTCTCGCTGCCCAGGCGGGTCTCAAACCCGTGGGCTCAGGCAATCCACTCACCTCAGCCTCCCAAAGGTGCGGGATTACAGGCTGAGCCACCGAGCCCGGCTTGTTGACTATTCTTATACAATTTGTGGACACAAATTTTCAGTGTAAAAAAATTAGAGAACAGGGTTAGTTTT